AAATATAGGCGCCGTGATCTATTAAGTGGTACACACCTACTTGAAAACCATTTGCATCTCTATCTTCCTTACGCGTATCTCATGGCGAAATATGCATTCAACGAATCTATTTTTTGTACAACCCCATTGACCCTATCTTTATCGCTGACCATCCATATGGGTATCTGGCTAAGAACAAATAAATCTATTCTAACGAGAAACAACATTCAACCCCTTCCAGTAAATTGACAACTTAAATATTTATATTGTGCACAATACTGCACTGTGCCGTGTGCACCGATTGTGCCTTCTTCACCCTCGCGTTTATTCGTTCGCGTTCCCTGTAACCATGTTACCCTTTGAGTCCAATGTCAATGTGGCACATAAATACGTTTCATATCGACGTACAGTCGTACACAGACGTACGTCGTACAGTCGTATGTATCACACTTGCTGTTTTTGTAATATTTTGGCGGGCTGTGAAAGTAAGTTACGTCATTGATTCTAAATATAGAATGTGCATGTGTAACCAAACGATTCGAGGAACTTATATCAGAATAATCGGAAGCGTAGAGCGGCTCCTACTTACAGATCATATAGCAAGACTGCTGCAATCTGTAGCATAACTATATGTACCATATAGGACTATAGGTGTTCAAATTGTGAGTACCAAGAACACGCATACATACTCACAACTGAATATGGTTAAACTAGCTCACCTTCCCCCCAAGCCTGGAGGTTCGTACTCGCGTCCGGGTAAGAAAGCAGTTCAACCCCACGGAACAGTTAAAGGTGCCGGTAGGAAAAGAAGAGCACCTGTGGTGATACAGTATGACCCAGAAGCGCGCAAAGATTACTTAACTGGATTCAGTAAGCGTAAGAAAGAACGACAGGATAAAGCTATAGAAGAAGCCGAGGTTAAGTTAAAGGTAGTGTTATGAGTATGCGTGTATAGATGAGTATATATGTTAGTGTTTGCATGCATGTGTATACAACGTTTGTACGTATCGGTATGTATGTATAGCTGGGTTTGCTGGATCAGTATATCATGCACACACACACACACACACACACACACACACACACACACACATAT